TCAAGTAAAAGCGCATCATTACTCCACTTTCTTCTGACATAATTTCAATAGTTGTCAAACAGCCCTTCTTCGTAGCAATTCATTGGCATTTTTTAATGTGAGTCAACATTTATCACCTTTGCATCTGTACAATTATACTCATACTTCTGCTTTTGCTGCGAACATATCAAGTGCTTTCGAGAAATTTCTAAAAGCTGCTGAAGAATTCATTTTTTACTGAATTTTTCTGATTCAAATATATTTCTTAAAAACGTAGTTTTTTGAATGAACTAGAGATGTGAAAGTATTTCGACAGCAGTTACTCTTCAAAATTCATAGACAATGACAAATTTGCGTGTGGATAACATTTCGCGCCTTTAAAAAATTTGGTGGTGTCAGTGACCATTGCAAGAAGTGAAATCAAAATGCCTAGATTTGCGATTGCCACTGCAGTTCATGCAGCGAATCATGAAATCGAGTAAAGGAATGCTCTTTTTCTGAAATTCAAGATATTTTCTGAGCAGATCAGGAAAAATCACGCAAATACAAATATGTCATTTTTTTCATATTTTATTTTCATTGTTTAAAGAACACCTCAATTTTAATCAGATGAGTATTATCTTTAAAAATGGAAGACAAATCAAAATTTGTTTCATTTTGAAAAAAAAAAACTTTTCCGAATGAACACAGTGGACTTCGGAAAATAAGCCCTTTTAATGAGCTGAAGTTAATGACTAATTAATAATAAATGACGACAATCAATATTAATTTACTTCTGTTCATTAACGAGTAGACACATAATCTAAAAAACAATTCTTCATAAACACAATTGTTATTTTGACCCTTTGTTGATAGACATAAGTAGAGTGATATTATTGTTCTTAATTAGTTATTACTTTCATAATTCAAAGAGAGAACGAAGGTTATTTGGCCTATTTTACTTGATCTGCTCGGAAAATATCTTGAACATCTTATTAGTCATAGTGAAAGTATGGAACAGATCGAAGTATTGTAGCACGGATTGTTTCGAAAATGCAAAGATGAAAATATGAAAACACAAGCAAATATGAATGCAAAAATTAACTTTTTGGTTGATTTAATTTAAAAATTAACTTAAAAATATGTGCAGATATGCATAAAATTGTCATTGCTAACAGTTAGTACGCACTGCAATTCAGTCGCAAACAACAGTGCTGAATCACTCTTATAACTGATGAATCATTAAAAATAGAATGGGCTGTGAGAAAAGAATTATTCTCAGTGAAAGCTAACAGTAGACAATAATCAGAGTGGTTGGAAGTACAATGCGATATTTGTACAAATTTACAGGAAATAAGCTGCTACTTCCAGCACATGCATAAAGTTGCAGTAAAGCGAAACCGAAAGTTAGCAACAAATCAGTAAAATTTAGGTAAGTTAATAGAAAAAGTTAACGTCATCAAATGTTAACATTAAGCGATGCGAAAGAAGATGAATTTCCTTGCAGGGGAGAAGTGAGATGCGTTGGAAATTGAATGGCTTCTCAAGTTCGTAAAAAATAAAACGAACAGCTCTCAGTTCCAATCAAACTTCATTATTGGATTATTATGTGCAATAGCGCTTCAAACATTCTCTAAATTGATGATAATTGTTTGCTTCGGATACAGTTTGAAGCAAGCTCGTCTTACCGATTTACTACTAATCAAACATGCAGTAACTGAGGGCTCAGTAATTAAATTACTTGTCAATTCTCAAGCTTTTTTGTAATTTTATAGATTACAATAAGAACTAAGAGTCGGAAATAAATGAATATGTTGAACAGAGAAAGTGTAAATATCCTTACTGAATTCAGAATATATCCAAATATGGAGCCGATAAGTCGACGTACTGGCAATCCTTATAGGAAATCGCCAGAGAATGCATCAGCAAACGTTTTGAAGAGTACTTGGTAAAGCATTTGCATTGCTATCATTTCAAGCAAATAAATAAATAATAATCGTTAAAATTTTGACTACAAGAGTTTATAATTCCACCCATATGCAATGTGAGAAGCAAAATTTGAAAAATTTCCCACAACTTCCAAAGTTGTAGAAAAAATTATCTCAACTATCGAAAAAAGTTTTCCATTCAACTAAATTTGGAAAAAACCAGAGAAACTTTAGTTTTTCACACTTTTATTCCTAATAACTTATTTACAATGTGCAGTGAATTAATTATATTTGCTTGCTTCAGAAATAAATTAAAATTGAATTCATCTGAAAAGAAACATAAATACAAATGTTTGTGCAGTTTTTGAAAAAATGTTAGAAATAAATACTGTATAAAAATTATCAAATAATTTAAGCAAAAGGTCACGAAGATTTCACTATAAAAGAAAAAGTAATTGAAAAATGCTGATTTGTCTCTAATTTAATTTTTAGAAAAATTTGTACAATACCTGCGAAGCGCTAACTTTTTTATTCTTTGAATCGTACATTTTTTACAAGTAAAGTAACTGAAATGCAATCTACTAACTTTCTTAACAGATGAATCTTTTTTGTTGATTTTTTTGGCTACGTAACTCTGTACCAGTGGTGTCGACCGGACATTTTCATAGCACTACATGAAAAAGTGCATTTGACGACATTGGTCAAGATGGAATAGGATTGTTCTGTAATTAAAAAGCAAGAAGTAATACTGTGACTCATTTCAGTTGTGCTTATCTAATGCATTGTGGTTATTCAAACTTCACATCGCCTGTCAATAATTTTTATTCATAATAAAATTCAATTAATTGTTCGGTATCCAACCGAATTATTTTCCAATAAATCATATCTCTGAAGGCAGTTGAAAGGAGTAGTGTATAAATAACAACGTGGCTGCAATGTTTCAAGAGAATATTAATCATAACTATTCACTGAAGAACTTTAAAGAGTTGAGATCCGCAATTAGAAAAAATGCCTTGAAGAAGCATTGAAAAATGAATCTTCAACAAAGAATGATCAGTTCGAATTGCATCGATATTCCAGAATATGTAGAAAGGAACGCAAGGAAATGATTATCGAACTAACGTGGATTAAATAGAAGCCTTAATAAAATTGGTCTTGCCTCCAATTAGAAGTCGAAGTGAGTTTTGTAAACTAAAACATATGTCAGTTATTGATGGAAAGAAATAATTTTAACAAGTTTTGCCCAATAATGTCATCAGTGCATACGTTGCTTACTGAGAACAAACGTAGAAAATGTGGTGACCTAAGAAAAAATGCACGATTTGTTTCAAGCAGCTAGAATTAACACTCAGACTACCTTGCTTAAAATGTCTTGAGTCGAATACAGCTAAACACTAGAGAACTCGTACAAATACTATTGCTAATACCTATTCAGAGGCAATACTGGTAAGATAATGCGAAAATACTCCACAACAGTGTTCCTTTTATAATGATGGCAGTTCTGTTCAGATTCTTATCATCAACGCATATTAAACTGCTTGTCAAAAGTACACAAAATAGTTTTTTTACAGTCAGAAAAAGATTACTTAAAAACTTTTGCAAAATCTGGGATTTGCTATTTTCGATGAAAAGAGACAACAAAAAGAAAGATTTTCAGAGATAAATTTAGAACATAAGCAATATAAAAAAAGCTATGAATAGCGTCACCTTTTGACTTTTACTCTAAAGAAAGTAATGCTGAGGTATTTTTCAGAATTGCAAGGAAAAATATAAGGATGATATTTATTTATTAAAACAGAGACATAAATAATGTGCAAAATAACAATTGACATATTGCTATTTTCAGATTGTAATTTTCAGAAAAAAGATTAATGAGCCAATTGCAATAAGACAAGAAGATCTAATTATGTCATCTGTAATATAATGTTATATTATATCATTTATTCATAATAGAAGTAACTTCCTGCACTGATAAGAATTATTTTCTTTTGAAAGTAAAAGCTATTGAAATGTTGCTCATTTTCATCAATGTAATCAGTCGAAAATAATAATAAGAGTGCGCTTATGATTAAGTTATCGAAAGCATAAGCAACAGCAATTGTTATAAGAGACATCCTTTTAGAAAATCTAATCTGAAAACTAAAATATGCTCTTGTTCCGAGAACAAAAGATTTATAATCATAATGTTTGGTAACAGTTTATTAATAAGGAGGATAAATTATAAAACATCCAAAAATAAGCAATGATTTATATATTTTTATAGGAATGAAACGGATATTTGAAAACTGAAACTAATCAATTTATTATTGAAATCACTGCGAAGTTTTGGAGATGTCTGTAGAAAGAAGAATGTGAGATTACCATACAGAGATATGGATATTAGCTTTAATAGTGCTTCATTTCATATTTTGATTATAATTAATGTTCTTCGATTAAACGATGAGGCAAAACATAACAACAGATATTATACAAGTGAGCTAAATTTGAAAGAAGAATGATAGTTGAAATACACATTTTGCTCACTTGTGTATAAATTTAACCACACATTTACTGAAATCATAAGGATGATTAGAAACCAATGGTTTGTTGAACAAATGATTTATATTCATAATTTTGCAAATCATTTTCACTTATATCAGAACACTGTTAAAATGGATTCACTTAATTTATGGTTGCATGATATGCTGCAATTTAAATTTTGAAATAAATAGCACATCAGTGGGTATATTAAGATATCTGATCAGAATATATATAATCACGACATGACGATAAATATGACAAAGTGCAATGATAAGATAAATATGAAAAGTGAAAGCACAGATCATTCTGTTTGTTGCAGAAAATAAAAGCTAATATTCGAATTATAAATAAGAGAATTTGTGGAAGAAAACGTAGATAAATACTTTTAAGTCTATAACTTTGTTTGAAAGAATTACTAAAAAATAATTAAAAAGCTTTTGGTAAAAAGAAAATGCCAATGAAACTTTTTCTTCGTGCATGCAAAAATGTCGACTAGTAACTGTTAACATTTTTTTCCAGCTGATAAAACTAACTGTGCCTTGAAAAAGAACAAATGATGGCTAAAATTTCAGGCACTAATGACAGATTCGAGAATCAAGAATCTGAAGGAGGATGAGAACTTTTTTTGAGAACTCCCCGCTGAGATCCATCCTCATTGAATCGTACACGACTTCGGTTACCGAATGATGAAGTAGATGAAGATCCTTGGTACATTTCTGATTCTTCTCGAAATTGTGGTGGATGTGTACTGAATACTATTGTACCTGTCGGAATTCCGAATCCACCTGGGAACACATAAATAACTTATTTCATTAGACAAGTTTTTGGAAAAACAATTTTATTTTCCTAATTCCCTTAATTTCATAATATCTTTCTTTTAAAAATTTCCAACAGTTAAAAATTCACAGCATAATGGGTAGAACTGGTTCTCTACAGATTCGTAAAACTCGGGATTTCTTCTTCGATGAAGCCAACATCCATTGCAAAGCAGGCAGCAAAAGAGTGAACATAGAACGCTAATCAATATACTTACAATTAATGCAATTATCGTTAAAGTGTAGTCAAGCCTGAAATTCGAAGTCAAAAAATTTACATTATCTTTCAAAAAATTTACATTATCTAGCTTGCATTTTTGATCAAACCTGGAAAGCTTTACTCAGAAAAGCTAATTTTACCTTTAGTAGTAATTATAGAAATGATTATGAAAAGTAGTGCATCAAAAAAATGAAAGATTTGATAGATGTTTTTTCGAGGTTAAAGAAATGCTTCCAACACTCCCATATGTTTACAAAATTTTTTTTCATTGCTTAAAAATAGCAAGTGTATTTGTAATGGATAGGCTACAAAACGTAATCAGTAAACTCACCGAACGGAAGTTACATAAGATACAGAACCATCTTGTGTTTTAAATTCAGAAGACTTTGTTACGATGTTTTTGCTTTCTAGTCCGCAGCAGAAGTAATCCTGCAAGTAATATGCAACTTTTATACAATTTCTACTCAAATTTTACTAGTTGCCATCATATTTAAAAATGCTTAATATTGAAAGAAAGTAATGACTACTCCAAGTTTATGATAAATTAGGATGAATCTGAAACAGAAATTAATGTGAGTCAGTGATGGTAAAGGTTAACTGATGCAATACTAACAAGAACTGGTTTCCCATTTTTGTGAATCAATTTTCTGTTTGTTTGTATTAGAAAAAAATTTTTAACCCAATTTAGGCATTAAAGCACATCATACAACGTGTTTACACTTGAAATTTACTACAATCACTCAAGTAAACCTTTCATTGGGACAATCGGCACGATTCCTTATTTGCATTTTGTCATATTTCCATTAGTATCTAATTTGGTAATATTAATTTTTCGAAGTAAACATTTTGGGTTTTTAGATTTGAAACTTTTTTAAAGATATTTTTTTGCAATAATTCAGTATTTACAAAATATACATTTGTTGCTCAAACAGAGGTTATTTCCATTCACTGAATTCACATCACTTCAAACAGAGCTGATTAAAGTGCCCTACTTGTGTGCAAAGCAAAAACTTATAACGTATTAAATGTTTTTTAAAATCGAAATATCGAACAAAATCAATGCCGCTCAGTGCAGGGAATTCGTCAAATACTCAGTCTTTTTTTGTCTTTAAATGAAAATAATTACAGAAGTAATTAAAGAATGAATGAATGATTTTACGAACAATTTACTGCAAAAAATTGCTCAGAATTAATTGGAGGACATTTTGAATGCATGGAAAAGCGTATTTTATATCATGAATTATGAATTAAAAAATGTACTGATTACAAGTTGTGAGTTGAGAAAAATTTTTTGCTTGGTGTATCAGATGAAAATCTTTAAAAAGTTCACTCAAGAACCCATATGAGAGATCAGTGAAGGCAATTTATATTTGCTTAAACTTTGAATAAATAACTGCTCATACATTTTACTTCAAACACACTGAACAAATGTTTGAAATGCAATTTTCTAGAAAAACATTGAAAAGAAATCACTGAAAAAAATTTGAGCAAAATAGTAATATTTCAAATTGAATGTTTTGTTGTATGAAAATAAAATACATTGCAATCATGACTGTCATACCCTTTTATTCATCTGAAATTATTAAACATTCAAGAACTACAACTTGTCATCAAGCAAAGTAGCACTACAACTTGTCATCAAGCAGAATTTGTCAAAAACATACCTCAAAAGTGGAATCTAAACTTCTACAGCATGCAAATGCACAAATAAGTTCTTCACCTTGTTTATTTGGTGGACATCTTACAGTAGCACTACAACTTGTCATCAAGCAAAAACACGCAATTATAATCGTTATAACCATGCTAAAAAATATATTAGCAAGTACGTGTACTCAAATTTTTACATTAACGTAAGTAATAAGCATAATTTATAAGCATAAGCAATGCTAGAAAATCCAACAGAGTTTAGAAGTTGAACGGCAGATTATGGATTACTTTCCATCATTATAAATTCAAAGATGGATACTGCTTCAACTTAATTTGCAAACAAAAAATGATGTAAATTAGTGAAGTTGATTCAGTGAAGAGAGCAATTAATAATGACAGTATTAGAAATGAAATGAGTAACCTTCCTTCCTGTCTTCTAAAAAATAAACACATTAAGGAGCACTCAGAAAAAATGTTTCTTTACATAAAATTTGATCAACAAAGTAGCACAGATTTGCTCATAATCGCTCGTTTACTGCCCAAATTTTTAACACTTTATATAACTATCACTAAAAACTAAGCAATGCTTTATTGCCATCACTACTATTACGTCATCAACACAAATTATTATAATAATTTTTAAAAAGATATCATCATTCTTGATTATTGAAGAATCATAATTGAATAATATGGATTAATGGAAGCTACACTAAAATATGCTTTCAAATCATTTTTTCAAATATATAATTATCACACTTCAACTTTGATAATTTTTCTAAAACGCATCTAATTTATTTGGCAAAAACTGGTAAATAAATTAAATCTGCGAACAATAAAACAAGTTACGATAAAGTTACTGTGTGATTTTATCCTCAAAACATTCAAAATACTCTAAACCTTTGAGTATTGCCCTTCAGTTTTTTTCTTGAATGAACTTCTGTTATGGTTTACAGCGAGTCCTTTTCAACTCTAAGCTAATCTTATTTAATAATAACAGAAATCTTAAAATCTTACATCCATTCCTTATTAATTTAGTAGTTTTTGCTATGCTTTTTCAGATTCCATTAAATTATGCCTTCTAACTTTTCATGAGTAATTTAACAACATTCAGCATTTAAAATGCTACTTTACAACATTGTAGTAATAGAATTTGCAAGCATGCTAAGAGACATTTTGGAGAAAAAGTTAAAATAAAGTTGCTTGCAAATATTTTTAAAATGACAATATCGCAAGAGGCAATTTACCCAAAACAAGTTTCTAATTGCAATTGTCAAAAGTAAGTTTTCGATCAATGTAAAGTGCTAAAATTCAGATTTTTTGTGAAATAAATTAAGTCTTCTACGTCATATTTTGCTAGAAACATGGATGCTCGCCAAATCATTTTGTTTAAAGGTAAAAATTTCTATGCTAGAATGAATAACTTTTGGCTGCAAAAATATTCTAACGTGTGCGCAATAATTAGAGCATTTAAGCAATTTGATGAGGAAATATGCATAAGCTAAAGGTAGGGTAGTTACAACTTACATTACAAATATGTAGACAGTCTGATCAATCAATACTTACTAACTAAGAAATTGTGTTCAGCATTTATGTTTCATTTGAAAGTCAATAAATACAAAATGCCTGCGAGAAAAAAGCATTGCATTCAATGTCAAAATGCAAATTACGGATGAAAAAGAAAAATGAAAGGCTCCAAAACAAAATAAAATAGAATAAAAAATCTTTTGAGAACTATCAGTGAAGTACAAATATGTTTAACTTTGTTACTTTTGATTAAGTAATAACAACATTTCTGGTCGTTTGGATTGGTATCAAATGCAAATTATTTGCAGAGATCTGCTGCGAAATAAAATGATTTTCATGCTTCAGTGTGGAACTTTGTATTCAAAAATTCATTACTTCTAACTTCTCAAAGACTACTCGACATTCTTCTACTATTAAGATACGAGTAAAGTTGATGGTAAATATAGAAATTGATTGCATCAGTTTTTTAACTTCGTTAGAAATAATGAATTTTCTTTATTACACTTTGCTAAAACTATATAAAGGCGTCATATTTTGCTAGAGTTATCTGCATTATTTATCCTTTCACGAATAATTTGTATTGAAAGCTAATTGTGGGAATTTCTAGATTGAAATACTTTTTAATCGACAGAATTCATTCTTTTCATCAAAAAATTTTTTGCAAGAGAAATGGTCGTTCACAGATTAAGTATTGCAATTCATATAATCAAGTGAGAGTTCAGCACCTTTATTACTACCAGTAGCAATTATGCTAATATGCAAAAAATATTGCTAGCTTTGTTATATTGAGTTGACAAGTTCAAACAACTTTATGCCACAGAACATTGATTTTACAGTTACAGTTATTTGATCAAATACTCGAAATAACATGTATTTTATTTGCACATGAATCATAATGATATGTGTGAAAATTTAAAATCAGAAATAGAATAATCACGAATTCAGTTTTTGCACTCAATAATACAAAATTACATATATACCATTTGCTTATGTATATATTGCACAGAAGCATTCTTCATTAAAGCAGATAAGTATATAATACAGGAAAAAAAAAATTTTTACACTCACTCATTGTTTATTCACACGGACATGTTCAAATGTATGGTGTCAGGAAGAGAGACTTATGATATGAATAGCTTGGTTACAAACGAGTATCACATGCTTTTTCACTAACAAAAGCTCTGTCTAAAGCACTGAGGCTAGAAACCAGAACCCAATCATGACTAAGAATGCTTTATGGAAAACAGACGAATTGAAACTCAAAAAATTTGTGCATTCACTTGAATATTTCTTCGCTTAATTTAATTAACTTTATCTCTGTTTCAAGATAACAAAAACTTATTTCAGTACATGGACTAAATAAATTTTCAAATAAAACAATATTCGACTTATGATAATTGCCATTTTCAATGCAAAGTGAAATTTGCGATGTGTCATAACTTGCACTAAGTTCCCAAAACAATTCAAAGTAGATTTACAAGAAGCTAAAGCTGAAGATTACAAGAAGCTAACACCAAAAAAAATCTATTTTGGTGAGAAATTTTTTTTGGTGACAAATACCCGATTAAATGCGCTTACTGACCCCAAATGTTGTTGTTGGTTTCTTTTAACTTAGCTATGACAACTGATACAAGTTAAGGAAGAGACGGAAGTAAGCATTCGAAAAAAGTATCCAGTATTTCTCAAGCAAACAGTTCGTAATTTTTTTCTAAATTATGTTATCGTATTTAATGAAGACAAAGCACTACAAATCGAATATAACTAATCAACAAAATCGTCGTTTGCTGTGAGCAGTGAACAAGAAAACAAGGAATGATAAACTGTCATTAGTATTGAGATGATTGCACCTCTCGCTTGATATCAAAATTCCTCACAGCGAAAATTCTCTGTGTTTTGAGCTCTTTAATGTGCTTCGAGAGATCAATCAATCGCTCCGTCACTGGATCAACATGTTCATATATCCATTCGTCTACTGTATGCTTCTTGAAAATTGTACTCATCAGGGATTTGATAGATTCAGTCTAAAATTAAAAATTGTGAAAGGAAGTGTGCTGATAACTTTCACTATAGTGCTGATTTCTTGAGCATTTAACATTTAATAATCATTAAAAAAAACTATTTTATCAGTTATGATCTACTAATTTTTTGTTCTTAAATCTCATTTCTATTTTCACTCATGTTAGACTTAATTCTTCCCAGCAAAGACTAATTTTACTACACTTTTTTATTTGGAAAATTCATTTCAGTCTCACAAATATTTAAAGTTCACTTCACTATTATGTTAGAATAGGACAAACAGTTCTGCAAGTTTTACTTCAGTGAAGAGTTTGTGCTGAAAGGAAAAAATTCTTACGGTAGCAATCATTTCTTCCGCATATATTTTAACCAGTGCTTCTATTTGCACTAAATACCAATTTTGAGAATATCTGTATCGTAGATTAAATCGACTAAGCCACCCTTTAACTTGATCATTTTCAAAGATTTGTGTATCAATTTCATCCATATAATTTTTTAATAGATGAATCGCTTCAAATAGTCTGACGCCTGGAAATTTATTCCTTCTACAAATCTCTATGTGAAAAAAAAGCAAACAATCTTGCCTAAAGTATTTAATAGTATATAATTATTAATTTTTCACATCTCTTTCGACAATCACTTCGTTATTTTTCATTACATTGATCAAATATCAGTGAGCACAAAAAATTAAATTAAATTAAAAAAATTTATCAACTTGCTAATTTATTAACAACATCAATTGCTTAATATGAATGACATGAAGTTTTTGGTGTTGACTGAAAACTTGCAACTTTTTCAAAATGCAAAGAAATTACCAGGAAATTTACAAGAGCTGAATGAAAACAAATCTTCTACTGCAATCATTTTCGTGCAGTTCAGTGCTTCTGTAGCATCTTCTAGAACGAATGCGGCAGAAGGTCCATCTCCTGCTTTGGCAACCTTAATAACTCAAGAGAGTAAATACAGTAACAAACTAAACATACATTTAATATACATTTTTATCAAACCATAAATGAACGAAATTGCTTCTGTGCAACTAAGCAAGCATGAACTATTCATACATTGTACCCGATTAGTTTATCAATCATAAAAAGTGGAATGAAAAGCAAAATGTGATCAATTTCACAAAAACTGAAACAGGAAAATTCATTCCCTACCATCTAAATATCATTTAGTTCGATTTTACAGCATTAATCTAGAATTTTTTCCGTATAAACTCTCTCGACGTACCAAAAGATTCAGTATCACGGATGGAACAGCAACTGGGAGAAGTTCACACAGCACTGCGAAATGGTCATATCTTTGCCAGCCCGTTATGATAATTCCTCGAAAATTACGGAACAATGGACCATAAATCTAAATTATTTATACATTTTATTCAATTAGCCGAAACTCAACGACACACTTGCTAGAGTAATATATGGTAACTAGGATGTCAAGAAAAGTTTCAGAGCACATTTTACTGATAGGCAAACTATAGTCCCTACTTTCTATCCAAAGCGAAAATATACTAGCCTTAAACTGAATTCACTTTGCAAGCAGGTCAAATCGACCAGATTCAAAGATTAAATAGGTCATGAAAGTAAAATCAACGCAAATTATAACACATATTAGTAATTAGTCATAATCGACTAATGGCTTCCAGACTTGCTTGCATTTATTTCTATCTAAATAATTTGAGATTACTGAATATTTAACATATTTCTTCTTTAAAATCTCTTCATATTTTTCTGACAACAGTTACAAATTCAAAAATTTGCATGCTTAAACACTCTCTCTCAATCTTCAAACTATCCATTTGATCTAATAGGTAACTTGGTAAATTTCAAGAAAACTTTTCCACTTTGTTATCAAAAATATTTGATGAAACATTAATGAGTTTATTAGATAATACTTTATTATTTAGTTATATTTTTTCTTCCTATGATAATTTATCATTAATGTTTCTGAAGGAAAATCAAAGAAAATGGTCTATCAATGACTGTTTTCCTAATCTGCAAGATTAGAAAAATGTTTTTTGCAATTAATTCAAAGATCTAAACAAATACTCAGTACCCGCTCGATTCTGCAAAAATTACACTTTTAAATTCAAATTGTTGCTTCCCATTGCATAACACTTGCGGTAAAAAAAATTAAAAAATCTTTAAGAAAGCATTTTCCAAAAACAATTCAATTAAATGCAGAAATTCTAAGCATGCAATGTTTGACTGCGCAAAGTAACCTCTCTACGTGCTATGAGAATTTGATCTTGAAACTGACCTTCCGATGCGTGATCCATGCTTGATTATTAAGAAGATAATGTTTTAGATCAAGAAATGTTGACGATGGCTTGTTTGCACCTTTAAAGGCAGATGAAGCCCAAACTGTAGGAAACTTCGAGGCCAGTGTATACCAATTATATTCTTGAAAAAATTAATCGAGCCTTTTCTTAACTTTGCCACAGTTGTGAGTAAGCTTTCAGATGGAATTAAATTTCAATTCAAAATTTTTTATGATTTCATGCAAAATTCTGAATTGAAGAATTGAAATTCTTAAAGATTATGATAGAAAAACTTTTCTCATATTCTTTTGTATACCATTTCTGCCATCTCAATGGAAGTTATTCTTTCTTCTAAGACACATTTTTAAAGATTTTCTCCAAGAATAAAAAGTCACTTGTATGAAATTTATACAGTGTATCATACTCTCTCTGATGATTCAAAAGTTCGAAAGACTGTCTGGATACTCATTAGTATTTTATAACAGGTAGTAAAAACTTCAAATTCAAAATTTATTTTAGCTTGAAACTTGTTCATTACATACTCAAAATTTGTATACCATTTTGTTGTTGCAAAGTCTCGGAGTAATCCCAGACTACTATTTCTAGTAGTTTATCTAGATGATACTGAAGGACAAGATGAGCTGGGAATGATTGTACCATATCGTGCCAAGCTAAAACCCTGTAAGTTATCAATCAGCATATTGATAAAAATTGTTAAAAACAGGTCCACCATCTTGAATGTTTGCACAGCATTTTGATCACACCAAAATTTGACTTCAAGTTTTCAGTCTCTAAATGAAAAATGCTACAGTTTTGTAGAGACTTTATGAGACACTAGTGCCAGTTGATCTCTTTAAGCGACTATGGGATATAATGAAGTGTCTACCTTACGCCTGGAATTAACTTCTTCACGTATTTGGCAACTTTTGCTAGATGATTTGCTGCCAAATGATCTTTCTCTTTTCTAGTAGTACGCATCCAAGCGAGATCTTTCTCGCAGCTGCCGTACTGAAGAAAGTAATTCTGTTATTTGCCTTAAAGTTGACAAAAAATATGCGAAGGATTTAGTATTTTAGTTCTTAATATCAAATATTGAACATTTATAAAAGTACTAACTTTTTTCAGCGAAAATAAAACTAATTTACAAAAACAAACTTGAAAGGCTTCATCAGCACCTATGTGAAAATATTTGATTCCATATGATAGATGAAGATTAACAACTTGCTGTATACTTTCTAGAACAATTGAAACCCCTTCTTCATCTGCTAAACAAACTACCTGAAATTAGTTGTTGTAAGTATAATTAATGTTCAAGTAATTTTTTTAACTGCATTCACAGTGAAGAATAATTTGCATGTAAGTCTTTAAGAAATTAAGATGCATGAAAATAAAACGAATATCTGCTTCAAATAAATAGCACGTCAAAGACGATAATAAAATTTGCATCACCTGAGGGAACATATCCTCTTCTCGATATTTTCTGAACTTTTCTACTTTCAAAATCCATTCTAAATGCCCAAAAGTCTGAACGAGTGGTATGATATCAAGTTCCAGTGATTGAGCTGTTCGCAAGAGGTCATGAACTTCTTCTACTGTATATGCATCGCTATTACGATTTTCTGATAAAATGCCGTCAAAGGGAAAAGTATCTTCCCATTCTAGTAAAATACCTGAAATATTACTGCAGTTTGTCAAAGAAATAGTCATAACGTCAATTACTCAAATTTTAATGAAGTGCTTAAGATACAAAATTCGAAAAAAATAGTAACAGGAGCAATTAAGATTAAATTTTATCGGTCATTTTAAATTCTGAGCAAAATTTAATCTGTTACTTAGCTCTCAAGCAACCTTCCGCTAATAAACATTACTTGAACTTGTTTCGATGCATATGTTACATTAAAACAAAATGTAAAAACAAACGCACCAGTGGCACCATTTGCTTTAATAAGCCTTAGCACTTCTTCTAAAAACTTTACTTTCGGAGCTGCACCTTTGAGGTCGAAATGGATTATTCTGTTTGCATAAAATACCCGCTGAAATGTCAAGTCAATTAAATTTGCTTTCCTTCAAACTATAGAGGATGAAAATGATCTTTTAATGCTGAAATCCTTAATATACTGAAAACTTTATTGAAAGCAAAGTTTTAAAAGTTATAAATTTCATATTCATCTTGAAAGCTGCAGTTATTTCATTCACTGCTTTCCTTTTTAATCTTATTAAAAGAAGTGCAAATATCTAATGCTTTTTTTTCTTTAATTCCTTTTAAATTATTCACGCCATGTCCAGTCAAGTTAAAAATCGCTTTTCGTTATTCACCGATTCGAAATAAAACTGCCAGTAATATTTTTGCACAATTTCTAAAATGAAACAAACTGCGACGGAAAACTATTTGAAATGCTTCAAGTGAAAATTAAAAAAAATGATGTATATGCATTTTTTGAATTTCAAAAACCTGTTTTTAAACGCAGCGATCAATTTAATAATGCCTTAACAAGTTATATTATTCTGCTTAGAAGAAATTTATATCGTATACGAATGTTATAATCGAAATTTGGAATTGGTCAATCTATCCTAACTTAACGCAAGACGCTGATTTTATGTCTTTACGTGCAAATGAGAAATAAGGATGAAAACTTGCTTTGACATCGAGTCAATTTTAAAGTGTAAATGAATTGCTATCTAAAAAATATTCTTAAGCATTTAAATTTCCAGTTGACTTACATCAGTTAATGATTCATTTGATTGAGTAAATGAAGTTTGAATAGAATTTCGATTTTGTTTGATTAGTTCAGATGCCAATTCTTTTGATATAATTGACTTAATTTGCTTCGAATTGACTTCATGATTTTTGCTAACTCTATATAACGATTTGTGAGCTATTCTTTGAATAGACTGATTCTGTAAAGAATTTAATCTGACTTTCGAAAAAGATTCAAAAAATTTGCTCATAACAGTTTTTATATTTGCATTTAATGGTAGCAAAGCAGTCAAGAAATCAACATTCTGAATACTATTTTACAATTTAAAGTCCAATTTACTTCTTGAATAACTGAACTTCAAAACTGTTATAAACAATGCAGCAAAATTTGCATAATATTAGGAATTGATAAATTTATTAAATCAGAGCAAAATCGTGTAACTACAATGAGTTACCAATTTTCTCTTTGAAGCATTTGCTATTTCGCTGAATAATTTGTAATTTACTTGCTGAGATTCTTGCAATTGAAAACTTCGAAAGTATTTCTCGTCATATTTCTGAAACTCATCCGGGCTACTTCAATATTTAATTATTCGATAAGTATTGTTTACTGATATTATTATTAGTGAGATTGGTTTATTCTCTGGCTGATACAAAGCATAAAATAT